ACGGAGGGCCGCCGCGCTGGCGGCCGCAGCGGCGGCGGAGCCACCCTTCTACAAAGATGTGTGGCAGGTAATAGTCAAACCCAGGGGGCTGGGGCATAGAAAAGAGCTGAGCGGCGTGTTCCGGCTCTGTCTTACCGACGAGGAGGTTGTGTTCGTGAGGCTGAATACCGAAGTGGCCAGCGTGGTCGTCCAGCTCCTGAGCATCCGTCGCTGCGGGCACTCAGAGCAGTATTTCTTCTTGGAAGTCGGCAGGTCCACTGTCATCGGTCCAGGGGAGCTCTGGATGCAGGTGGATGACTCTGTGGTGGCCCAAAACATGCACGAGCTCTTTTTGGAGAAGATGAGAGCCTTGTGTGCAGATGAATACAGAGCCCGCTGCCGCAGCTACAGCATCAGCATCGGCGCCCACCTGTTAACCCTACTGTCCACTAGGAGGCACCTGGAAACGCTGCCGCTTGAACCCGGAGGCTGGCTCAGAAGGTCCCGCTTTGAGCAGTTTTGTCACCTCCGGACCATCGGTGATGGGGAAGACGAGATGCTCCTCACCAGGCGCTACGTAACACCCAACGAGCCGGTGCCTCACTCCAGGCGAGGAAGACTGCACCTGCCCAGAATGCGGAGGTCCAGGAGAGCTGTTTCAGTGCCAGCCAGCTTTTTTCGCCGCCTGGCACCCAGCCCGGTACTTGACCCACACCCAGCAGAAGCGCCCAGCGACAGAGCTTGCTTGTCTCTTGAAACGTCTGGTTCAGTCTCTGGCAACCGTGTGGAAGAAGATAATCCTCAGGGCCAAGCCGGTCAGGAAGGTAACGGAGGAGATGACTACATGCCCATGAACAACTGGGGTTCAGGAAATGGCCGGGGCTCAGGAGGTGGCCAGGGTTCAAGTGGCCAAGGTTCCAGTAGTCAGAGCTCAGGAGGAAACCAATGCTCAGGCGCAGGACAGAGCTCTGGAGGTAGCCAGGGCTCAAGTGGTGGCTCAGGCGGCCTGGGCTCGGGGGATCAGGGTTCAGGAGGGAGCCAGTACTCAGGAGATGGCCAGGGCACCACAGGTGGGCATGACTCAGGCAGTGGGCAGGGAGCCGGTGGTGGGCATGGTTCAGGTAGTGGCCAAGGACCGGGAGATGGCCAGGGACCGGGAGATGGCCACGGCTCAGGTGGTGGCAAGAACTCTGAAGCCGGCAAAGGCTCAAGAAGTGGGAAAGGCTCTGATGGCAATGATGAACAGAGAAAATCCCTGAAGAAAAGATCCTACTTTGGCAAATTAACTCAAAGCAAGCAACAGCACATGCCACCACCAACACTACCTCCACCTCCACCCCCACCAGCTGTAGGAACTGGTGGAAAAGGGAAATCTGGGGGAAGGTTCCGACTTTATTTTTGTGCTGACAGAAGAGCTACAAAAGAACGCAAAGAAGCTAAAGAAATCAAAGATGCAGAGATCTCACAAGATGCAGCTCGAAGTTCCCACAGAGCCAGAACTTTTGATGAAGATGAGGACGACCCATATGTGCCAATGAGACCAGGGGTGGCTGCCCCTCTTGCAAGCTCCAGTGATTATATGTCAATGGCTCCTCAACATGTTTCTGCTTCAAAAAGGCTCCACTCTCGATCCCCTTTTGAAGATTCAAGAGGGTACATGATGATGTTCCCCAGAGTGAGCCCACCACCTGCCCCAAGTCCTCCAAAAGCACCTGATCCTGATAAAGAGGATGACTCTAAAGACAATGACAGTGACAGTGATTACATGTTTATGGCTCCTGGAGCTGGTGCAATTCCAAAAAAACCCAGAAATCCTCAGGGCGGCTCTTCCTCCAAAAGTTGGAGCTCCTACTTCTCTCTGCCAAATCCTTTACAGAGCTCACCGTTGGGACAGAGTGACCACAGTGAGTATGTGCCAATGTTATCTGGAAAACTCCTGGGGAAGGGCCTAGACAAAGAAACCTCATCTATCAGGGGCCCCAAAGATGCAGTCTCAGAGCCTTCACTTGAGGGGTCCTTCTCAAAACCTGGAGATGGGGGGTCACCTTCAAAGCCTTCAGACGATGAGTCCCCCAAGAACAAGACTAAGAGACCTAACCAACTTTCTTTTATTGCGAAAGGAAATAAAATCAAGCCAAAACCACAAAAGCTCCTATGTGAGCAGGGAGAGGCTGACAGCTCTAGTGACTACGTCAACACTGACTTCACTAAAAGAAATAGCAATATGCTAGTGCCCTTCACTCAAGGACTGCCGCATTCGTGGGGCGTAATTGCTGACCCCAGACAGTCAGCCTTTTCTCATTACGTGAATATTGGGTTCAGAGTGCCATTTCGAAATCCAGCTAATGACCTCTCAAATATTTTAAGAGCTATTACAGGTGCCAACCTCTTCTCTCTGGACGGTGCTAGGTGGCCACTTTTGCCTCTTCTTTCCAGTGCTACAGGTAGCAATGCTAATGAGGAAGAATGTGACTACATTGAAGTGATTTTCAACCGAGCAATGACACCAGCCGTGCCTTTTGCTGACAGTGCCATTCGCTATGATGCTGAAACAGGTCGAATATATGTGGTCGACCCATTTTCTGAGTGTTGTATGGACATTTCTCTCTCCCCCAGCCGTTGCTCTGAACCAGCACCTGTAGCTAGACTGCTGCAGGAAGAAGTGCTAGAGAGAAGACGCCCACAAAGCCGTTCGCTGAGTTTCTTTGCATCCGTCAGATCCTCTATTTCTGCTTTGCCAACCGACAGCCTGGAGAGAGACCTCTACGCCTCCTTCGCTTCGGCCGCCGTTGCGGTCGTTGTGCCCACCTTTGCCTTGGGCCGGGCTTTAGCCGCCGCCTCCGCCCTCGCCGCGGCTCCAGGACTCGGCGCAGCCGCCGCGGGCTTTCAGGCTGCCTCTGGATTTAACTCCGCCTCTGTCCGCTGGTTCCAACTTGTTGCTAATGCTGCTGGTGCCGAAGCAGTAAGCGGGTCCCAGGTCTTCGCCTGTGGCTCGAGCCCTAGAGCCCAAAACCCATTTGCAGACCTTGACAGGGGAGTGAACCTGGCCGACGGGGCTGCGGCTGCAGCTGCCGCTCCCTCCCCACCACCTCACTGCCTGGTGCCGAGACTCCCCGAGCGAGAAGATTCTGACGACGAAGACAAAGACGAAGACGACGAAGATACTTACGCGAGAATGGACTTTGCCAGATCTGACAGGAAGTTCGACTCTCCCCAAAGAGGTTGGTAATTTTAGAATTCATTTTCCTAAGGTTAATGGTCATTGATTATGAATTGGTGCGCTACTATGTCTACAGTGTTAGGAAAAAGTTAGTAAATGCCTGTTTGGGACGGAAAATAGAATTCAGCTTTAATTATGCGTGCGACACCTTGTGATCTTTGCAAAAACTTAAGTTTTAATCCAATCACAGTTTATCTGGAAAGAAACGATTATCACTTAAACATTAGTTCTGCTTTTTAGGAGCAGTTAAAACTTAAGGATATGTAATACGAGGACGCTTTCAAATACCCGTCCTTAAAACTTAATGATTTATGCACACAGAACACCTTAAGTTGAATCCCATCAACTTATTTTAAAATCAACAAATAAAAGATGCTTTTTTACAAATGCCCATATTTAATTGCAGGAATTTTAATAAGAGCATAGAATATTAAGCAGTAATGATTACCTATTAGCGTTTGGGGGAGGATGACTTTCTCCTCTGAAAGTTACCTTTTAAAAAGCAGTGGAGGTTATGTTAGTTGCTGTGATTTACCAAGAAGGTTAAATCTCAGTTGTTAGCATGAATGCCTGGAGAGAACAAAACATAAATAATCCAAAACAACAAGTGATTAAAGAAGAGAGTGTTTGGCTGTAGGATGTGTTTTTGTGCTGATTTCTTTTGTTTTTACATACAGGATAAGTTACCAGAAACTTTGAGAGTTCCTTTCCTCTGTCACTAATAGTGACAAGCAAGTCACCTTCGCTGTACCTCATTTTCTTCATATAACTCCCCCAAAAGAGGGTATGATGACAACTTGATAATGGGTATGAATATTGTTTCAAAGGTTTAAAAAGTATTTAAAATATCTAATTGGTGTGTCTTCTGGGAAATCCAGGAAATCAAGATAATAAGGCCGGAGGAAGACATGACCCCAGGGGCAGCCCTGGAACAGTGGAACTTTTTTAAAGGGTTGCTTTATCAAAAGAAGAAATAAAGAAGAGTAGGAGCTGTCAGAGTTGGAAATAAGACTTTGAGTAAATCTACTGTGTACATTACGCAGTTTTGTTATTATTATGCCTGGAGACATTCTCAAGAAATGATTTCCGAAGATAATGTCTCCATAGTCTCAAGTGCCTTCCCTCTTTAGTAGAATGTGCTTCTTTCCCAGTGAAGGAAAGGGATGGAGGGAGTCCAGCAGTTTTCATTCCAGTAGTCAGTTTAGTGAAGATTTTTGCTTTGCTTGCTTTGTGGAATGCCTTTGTGATTGGATCTCAGCCCACTGTGCTTGATCAGGCAGAACAAGTCGGGGACTGATCACAACAGTCACCTAACAAGCTTCCTATTTAGTGCAGGTGTAGCCCCCCTCCCCTTTCTCTCCCTGCTTTAGAAAACTTGCCATACAGAAACTCACATTTGCAGCACGGACACATTAAAGAATGATCATTAAAAGGACAAAAGGATGTTTTAGCTTGCCAAAGGATTCCATTTAGATTTTTAAGGCATGAGCTCCACCCCTCAACACTCATGCACACGCAAATACCAGATGACCGCTACTACCCAAACTATGCATTTAAAATATATCATTCTCTTTCCAAGAATTTAATTCATAGCCAGCTTTTTAGGAACAGACCATTGTATTCTGTAAAGTACACCTGTAAGTTGGTCTCAAGGTGTTGTTGGAGCTTAATGGCTAAAGACACCATTTATATTAATGTAGACGTTCATAGCTGTCTGTCTCTGTGGTATCTTGGAAATAACAAGTTTTCATAGAGGTTTCTCTATATTTTCCAATACTCTTTGTTTCAGCAAGGATTAAAATTAGTGAAATCTTCTCGTTCCTTAAATAAACCCTGACCTCCTAAGGATTATCCAGATCCAATTTTCATTATTTTAGTGTATGTTACCGATTTATAAATAACTTCAGTTGACTTTGTAGCTATTTTAAAGATTTAATGTTCTCTCAAAGTATTTATTGTTCATTGAAATTTTTAATTTTATTGAGTGACTACAGCAAGGAAGCTGTATCTCACAGGGAGATGGGTGCTTAGGTTGAAACAAGAATGTGGAAGCACTTTGGAACTTTAAATCACTTTACAAATATATTTTTATTTTGTTATTGGATTAATACTGAATTGAAGTTTTAACAGTCTAAACTAAAGATTTAGTTTCTAGCAAAAGTGCTTGCTCCTGAGGGTAATTCTGGAACATAATTTGCTGGGCTATATAAAAGGAAAGATATATGGAAGGAACTCACTACAGGAAATGACTTTTGCTACCATTTTAATGTAAATTGATATAGTAGGCTGTTTGTCTGTGAAGTGTTAAGAATAGGCCGGATAATTCTGATGTGTTTTGACTAAAAAGCTATAGAATAATTTTCATGCATTTTTGATCTCTCTTCACCTTCCTAACAAATATTTAAAAATATATTTCATGCTAGAAAACAAAACAAATATGCTTTAATAAAGGAACAAAGGCACAGTCTTTATTAGCGATTATGTATCTCAAAGGGTAATTTTAATTTATGGCAAGTGCTTAGAACAGAGCCTGGCACATAATAAGTGTTGTAAATGAATTATTATACAATTATTATCATTGTTACTGTCATTATTATTACCTTTAGAAACACAAAGCTAAATTAAAGTTCTCTGTTCTCAAAACTCACTTTTCAGTTAATCTTTCATTTAAAATGGTTTATATGGTTGTTCAGAGTTGAGATCTTTATAGTTGGGATCCGTTTAAGACTTAAGTGAAATGAAGTGAGACTATAAGGCAGTGAGATAGCTTTGTTCATGTAACACAAAATTAATATATAATTTCATTTACCCACATTCACTTTGCATAGAAGTAAGTACTTCAAAGCCATTTGTTCAAGACAATTAGAAAGAAGCACACAGAAATATAACCTGGACTTCACCTTTTTATAAATGAATTAATTTAAAAAGTGTGAAGTCTTCACATTTTATACACAGGAGTTATAAGCATTAGCATTTAGGAGGAAAATATAGTTTCTTATATGGTTTAGTCTAACTCTTAACCCACATATGCATTTTTTGCATTTTTCATTGCTACATCTGACATAGAATGCATAGTTTAAAATGACGTAAGGTGAAGAGTTCACTGATTTTTCCATTCCAGAGATAGGATAAAGTCAGCTCTAGTAGGGGTTGGGAGAATTGGTCAGGCAAATTAGTGATATTATGATAGCACTTGGTATTCAAAAGCAAGAGAAAAATCTGTAGTAATTACCTTTTGAAAATTTAGACGCTGTTATTAACATGAAGTGTAAGCTTCTTTTCAGTATACTACTGCCAGATACTCTTGTTATAAATTATAGGCGCTGAGAGCAAATTGTTTTTGTTGTATTGGACTTATTATAAATTACTAGAGTAAAATCTCCATATAGCAGAAATTTCTCTGTCACCATTGATGGGTCATTTATTTTAGGAAACATTCACACACACACACACCCAATTAGACATTTGTTGTAGAGGTATTTGACTTACCACAATTAAAGAGGACTTCATTCAATTAAAGTTAACTAAAGTTGTTGGCAATCATTATTCATTTACATTCATTCTAAGAGTGATGCTTCCAGGGTGAAAATTTCTGCTACTAGCAATACATCGCCTTTAAACAAGGATTAAGACTTTAATTGAGCACATTAGAATATCACACATGCATAAAAATTCAAACAAGATCTCTTGCTTTCTTTTCCTCTTCCTAATTGCCAAACATGAGCTAAAATACTTCCAAGTCATTGACAGGGAGCTGTTCTGGGAACACACTCAGGCTTGTTAGAGTGACCCCAAATTTTTTGTATTGGAATAGATGAGGGTAACAAGTATAGGGAGAAATAAGGAATACTGTGCGTGATTTAAAAGGGACTATTGTTAAAGTGTCGACACGTTGATGGAGGGAATGCTTTACAGTTGCATACTGCCTTATAATTTGCAAAGCACATTCACATTCATTATTTTATTGGGAGACAGCAGGCTGCAACTGAAGTTGGTGTTAAGAATTTTCCCGTGGTCAAAGAGGTAAGTGTCAGAGCTGAAAATCAAACCCATACCTCTGCTTTCAGTCCAGTGCTTCATCCAGCACACCACACTGTCCTTTAATTAGACGTTCAATCTGTTCTTTTCCTATTGATAAAAGATTATTATATTGGCAAGGATTGGGAAAAATTACAAGTTTTCTTGAATTTGGTAGCAGCAAATTTTGTTGTCAGTAGTTCATTCAGAGCGTTATCACTGTGAAGCATCTGCCAGAGTTTGGGTAATTTTCCTTACATTGTACTGTTTGCCATGACTCTTAGAATAAAAGAATTTGACCTGTACTGGAATTGAATGCTTTAAATCTGTTCTGGAGAAGATTTTGCTAATCTCTACTTCCCAAACACGAATACCATGTGTATCTATTTGGATCCTATGGATACACTGAAAGAAAGAAAAGTGAAATGAAGATGCATTCATTAAGCTTCCATTAATGGTAATTTCCTTAACTAAAGTTGGGTATTTTGGTTTTCCTAACAATCCATGGACATTTGTCAGTTATAACAAAAGTCTTTTAATTTCATTTTTTCCATGTGGATGAAATCTGATATTCTAATCTAAACCATCACAATGGGCAAAACAGGATAAAGTGAGATAGGTGGAAGAAAAAGCACTGTAGAAATAGATGCTCTTTATTTAAAAAGTAAACTTGTTTTTGGCAGTTAGGCAAATAGATTTTAGAAGCCTTGAAAATAAAATCCTCTCCTTGAGACACAAAAATCCTTGTTTAAAATTAAATTCATTTTGTTTAGCACATTTTTAATGCTTTAAGAGTGTGTAAAAATAACCCAGACATTTATTGGCAGTATTGGAAAGTAGCTTTTGTAAAATCCTTAATTAAACCCTGCAGTATGTTTTGGCTAAGAGGTGCTGCCAGGCTCTTAGATGGTTAGGATCATTTACTGGAAAATATTGCTTGGTCCTGAGTGAGAAATGAGAGATTAAAGGCTACCTTTTATAATAATGAAGTG